AAACAGCTGAAAAGACATTTCCAGCCAAAACATAGAGACGTGGAGAGTTCGACTTCTACGTCACAGAGAGACAGTGCCAGACGTCAGAACGACTGCTCTGTAAATGAGGCATGTTAAATAACTCTGGCAGAGGCTGGAGTAATCGTACATTTCAGAGGTGTAAACAAAGCCATCTTTGAAATAAACAAAATAAACCAGGAGCAAAATAGGTCCAAATCGTTTATCTATTTTCCTCATGAGGACTCCAAAAATGTTTAAAGCCAAGTACTTTTTTTTGTAGTGATAGACTTGGCAAATGCATATTTTTGTTATTCTAAGGTTTTTATATTTTTCCTTCAATAGGTGCACGAAGGCCAAAGGGGGACCCCAGTTTTTGGTTTTGTTTTTTTTTTGCTGCATTATGTGATTTTTGACTGCACTTGTTTTAGTCAGTTCTCATTTGAGCAACAGTCAGTAATGATAAGATTAAGAGATTTTCAGACGTCCCACAGTGGGGACATTTCAGTGTTGCATTACAACACAAGACAGGTGAATAGTAAGTGTAGCACAACTCTATACTTTTGAATGTAAAATAATTTGGCTCGGTAAAGGTACAAGGTAAAGTATTGTGTACTCTAGTGTAAATAAATGTATACTTGCATTTACACATCTGTAAATAAATCTAGAACACTCTCTAGGTCAAGAATATGGAAATGGTAAGTCTTTAACACTGTGATGATACTACAGTACACGTAATAAAACCAAGAATATTATAAGTCTGTTTGCTACCCAAAGAACATATGAGCACATACCACTCGTTACATTCATTTTGTGTATTTTACATACACATACAGTAGCACACACATATGTATTTACATCACGTAAACAGTATTTACCATATGTTTGGATACCTTTTTAATAGTTTTTAGTTGTTAAATGGTAGAGACCCCACATACACCAGGTGGTTAGTGTAGTTTTTTTTTTTTAACTTTAACTTGTTAATATTTTTGTTTAAATTCAAGTGTATAGTATAGCTTTGAGTATTAGGATATTATTCAGAGTTTTGCCAAAGCTCTGTTTTGCCAAAGCTCTGTAAAGCTGTGACTCTTGAGGGTGATAAGAGCAGAGGTCTGACAGACAAAACAAACACCAAGGCCAAAAGTAATAAAGTGTTGAATCTTCCCAGTTTGTGGATACACATTTTTCTTTAACATTATGAAGGTATTTAGAATAGTTTAATAGATTTAACAAAGTTTGTTAAGTTAACAATTCAGGTGGTTTTTCCAACACATTAGAAGGTATATGGTAATTTTCCAGAGGGAGTTTGTTTTAAAAAATTAGGAATAATGCCTTGGGGTTCAAATTAACCTTGCAATTAAGACTGCCAGTTAAAACTTAATTATAATGGAGAATCATTTCAGAAGAGACTCAAATGTCTGGCGGACCACAATTGGCCCACAGGCCTGGTGTTTGAACACCTGCACTGCACCATAAGAGGACAGGCCCTAAGTTGATCGTAGCTCCTTTTCAATTTAAATATTTAGGTTTTTTTTAAAAACAAAGGTCTCCATGAGTTTTCATCTTGATACACAATCATCAAAACACTCAAAGTTTATTTGATCTTTAGGATATAGGTTGTTGTTTTACCATAAGAGAATAATTAGTTAGTGAGGCCTGACTTGTCTGAGAGACTTGCAGAGGAGAGCAGACAGCAGCAGAATGCACTTATCTGCTCTCCAAGGCCGGAGAGAAGAGTGTTTTGAAAACTCAAACTGATAACCCATGAGTAGAGTTATATGGAGACCATTATTATTATTATTATATAGACTGAGGCTAAGCCCTGGCAGCGCAGACCCAGAGGACAGGGGACAAATAACCCTTTTGCCAAAACATTGTTTCAGAAACGTGACCAACCCCTCCATAAGGATGGATCACATCTCCAAGAGGGAGACACAGAGCGCCATCACGCCTTGGCCACGGGGGTCGAGCCAGAGGAGGGGTCTGAGTCCGGCGAATGCCAGGAGGAGCCCTAACCAAAAATGCCGGGGGCACCCCACCGCGAGGGTCGACGCCCCATCATGGGTCCAGCCCACCGCAGGTGGACCCCAGCTGCCCAGAGCCAAAGGGGACCAACGAGAAGGGTCTGAGGACCTTCTCCAACGCAAGGAGGCAGCGAAGAAGTGGGGGCGGCAGTGCCCGACTTCCAACGCAGAAATGGAGCCGAAGCAGGAAGGCTTGCTCCCCAACGGCCGAAGGAAGGGACCACCTCGAGGGTCCCCACGACAAAACTTGTTTACACAGACAGAAGCTCTGAGCCATGGGTCAGGTACATTGTTCCCCGCTTTTTCACGCAGCGGAGTCAGAGACTGGGACGATCGGCTGGTCTGACCTGGAGGCCGGGACGCCCACCCCAAGGATGGGGGTGGACTGAGAGAGGCTATCTCAGCATTGCGTCAAAACGGGCTTTTGAAACTGTTTTGTGTACGATTCAGGATTAGCACAACTTAGCATTGGTTGTGGTACACATACATGCTAGGGTTTTCAAGCATTGACAATCAGTGCACTAACTCTGATGCTCCCACCCACTCTGACCCCATGTGGAAAGCACAGGAGGTCAGAAAAGTGTGAGGCATCCATGTTTAAGGTTAAGTGTTACAGATCTAATAACAAAGCATTAGACCCAATAGATTGGCTTGGACCTGGAACCATCTTTGGACCAGGTCTATTTTAAATCCACATACTCAGGTTCTACTCTCAGGGAGAGAGAGAGTGCACCCAGCACTGCTGGAGTGTCTACTGTGCGGGCACAGCGTCGATTCTGGGAGAAGTGAGGGTCGGCTGATGACCCATCGGGTCCAGTAACGCCTCGTCTCCCCTGGGCAGACGTCTGTGACCCAGTCAGGTGATTCATCTAAGCAAGTATATAAGTGTGGGTTTTAATATTGAAATAAAGTTAGTTAACTATTGTGTGTGTTTGCTCAAATGTTCAGATTTTGTGTTAATTCATAATCATTGTGATTTCTATTATTATTTTAAGTTGATTAAGATAAACCAAGGTTTTATATTTATCAAGAGATAGGATTGTTATAGAAATATTTTAGTAAAGCAATCTGAATTAACACCTAATAGTTATGAGTGTAAGTTATTAACTAATAGTCAACTCTGGATTCAGATACAGGCCATAGTGCTCTGTTGGCAGCGGGTCAGTGATAGATGGAGACGTGCTGCATCATGTCTTTGACCTGGGTCATAGAACAATATGTTCAGTTCAAAAGCAGATTGTTACATATATCAGAGTTGTATCAGCGTTAGGAGGCGTACAGAGAAGCCTTGAGCAACACATATCAATGTTGACTTCATTTATGTAATATCTAGAGTAGATATGTGTTTGTTTACTCTGGTCTATTTAATGTACAGTCATTTCCTCAATCGGGGCAGTCGATTTCGGACGGCTGCCCGGTGGTATTGGTATCGGTTCTGTTATTCATTGTAATTGTGCACATTTACTAATGAATAAACTCACACTTTGTTTGGAATTACGGCTCTGGGTTGTTTACATTATTTTACTCTTGTTATGTGCAGTAATTCTACAACAGTACACACTACAGAAATGTACAATAAGGCAGTTAACAAAGCGGGCTATCTTGAGCATACCAAATATTGTTGAAGTCTAAATCCGTAAAATTGCAATACCTGGTTAAACTAAACAATGCACAACCAACGCACAGCCAAAATGTAAAAGCTATTTAAGCCTAAATTTGATTTAGATTCAAATCACATTTAAACAAATATAGTGTGGTCAAAGTTCAAGACTAATAATAATAACAATAACAATACTAGTAATCCTAAAAATTAAACACTACATGTTGCTACTGTTAATTACTGTTTTGGCTGTTGCTATTCAAGTCTACATCTATGATTACCACTTGTCATGATTACATAGATATTTAAAGCATTCTCAAAGTGTGTATAGGAAGCCAATGTGTGCGTTTGAGTACTGAGTCTGATTCAGAGGTGCAGTAGCGAAGGTGAAAACTACAGCGGCTGACCTGTGTCAAGGTAGCATTCAATCTAATCATTCCTCATTGATTAGATTGGAATGGGATAAGCACAGACATGAAATAGTAATACAGTTATTATTATAGATCCATGAGTAATACACATACTAAGAATAGGTGAAATGTACTTCTTTCCTCCCTTTCACAAGTGTAATAATAATAATAATAATAATAATAATAATGATAATAATGATAATCTGCTCCCACTGACTTTGGCTGTTGTTGTTGTGTCACTCCCCCCTCCCTACAGGAAAGGACTAATAAAGGGGTTGAAAACGAATGATTGAATGAATAATAATAATAGTGGCATCAGTATCTAATGAGGTGGTTTCTAATGGCGCTGTTGGGCCTGTTGTGTTCTGGTCCGACTGTCCTCTGCTTGGCTGCTCTACTGTTGTAGTAATTGCTTTTTGCATCTGGGACTGACCTGAGCTACAGCCACTCGCTACAGCCTTCACTCCAAGTCCTCTGTCTTTACATTTGACTATATTTGACATAGAGAGAGTAAGATATACTGTTTTAAAGTGTATGAGCCCATTAGTCAAAATATGGTCACCGGATAAAATGCACATAGAAGACTGCAATCGTGTTCATTTTCAAACTTACACAGCAGATCTCACATACGTGTATATAACATAATGTGGTATGTGTCTTCTGCTTTTGATCAATTGCATTCAAACAGACAACCACCCATCTCCAAACCATGCATTTTTTTCACTTTCTTCAGTGACCCACAAACATTTTTGCAATGAAAATCAAATCTGATCAATATAGCAATTACCGCATTTCCAAATAAAGTGCAGCTCTAAATCACATCTTAATGATTGCCCACTAGAATAGTTTAGATTCCACAAATTGCTGCAGCATGAGAATCAATCTCTGGCATCCCTAAAAAGACAAATACAAATGACTAAATTACCAGTCTAAACATGAGGGTAATGGAGTACTCCGCTCTATATTTACCTGTCTAGGAGTCCGCTCTGACTTGCTTCGGCACCATTCCCAATCGGTCAACTCAATTTTTCGACACTCCTCGTGGGACAGTCTCCTCTCCGGCCCTTCGAACACCGAGGACGAATCTGTGAAGCCCAACTGCTGTGACGGAATGCAGCGGAAGTCATTGTTGATCTGGTGGTCTTCATGAGGGAGAGAAGAACATCCAGCCCCGTGAGCCTCAGCCTCCAAGAGCAAATCTGCACGAGAGGAGCTGTCCAGAGGATTAGGGGTGCTGAAATCAAAACACGGCCCTGGTCTTTGCAAAGTGGCCAGGCCTGGGTTCGACAAGCCACAGTTGAAGAGGCTGTGGTATGGAAGCTTCTGACTGGGAGGAGATGGAGGAGAGAGAGCAGCGTGGGAAAGCTTATAGACACCGTAACCTTGTTGGAAAGACAGGTTAAACTCAAGTCCTGTTTTCACCACTGCAATGAAAAATAATAAAAAGAGAGAGAGAGAAAATAATGGATGATTAGTTTGATCAAGAGAAACTGTGGGGGAATGTATTCTATATAGCTATCAACTCAAAGTCTGCTTAATTGACTTCTCATTGGGCTAAGCTTTTTCTACATACAGTAAGGTTAAGAACATCTTTCCACTTTCCAAGCTTGGGTACCTAACTTTTTCTTTATTAATAATATTTTAAGCAAAAAATAGTCTTGTGAAAGTAATGCTGAGAACAAATCAGACCAAAACAAGCTTCCTGTTTCTTAATACGTATTTTGCATTGGTGTAACTAACAGGCCTGGGGGTCCCTATTGAACTACATGTGGCATAGGCCAAAAATACATGCATGTGAAAACTATAGTGAAAGAACCAACCTGTTTGCAAGAACTAGTCATGTGGATTATATTACATACTGTATGTTTGTGGTTTTAAAATTGAGTACCTCAGGTTTGATTATTGCAGTGCAATTGTTGACAATGTTTTGCTATTGCTCAGCAATGTACCTGAATTGTGGTGCCTGGGGTCTCTTTTGCAGTTGATGAAGCAGCCACAGGGCATGTGTATCCAGCGCTCCGACAGAACAAACAGGGGGGTCATGGCTGGGGCCAGCAGAGTCAGGAAGAAGCTCAGAGTTTCCAGGGACAAACTGCGAGCGTTTATCGCATGTCTCACCAGCACCAGGGTCTGTACAACAGTGGGGAGTGAGCAAGGAATCTTAACTACAGAACTATGTCCGATCAGATTTCAGGGACAACAGAGCACCAGGAAGAATCCTACGCAGACATAGGAGAACATGTCAACTCAATCAGAAAGGCTCTGTCTGGGGCTGAAATTGAACCGAGGAGCTTCTTGCTGAGAAGCTGTAGGGTGCTAACCACCCACCCAGTGTGCTGGGCCTTTTTGAGTCGCATTTACATGTTCTTTGTGTGTGGCGGTTTCCCCCGGCTCTAAAACATCTACAATGGGACTAACTAATCCTCAAGGGGACATGAACTCCAATGATTTCCAATGTGTTTAGTGTGTATAGCAGTAACTGCACATTGTTTGAGTCTTAAAGTCTTAGCAGTTAACAACAGAAGTTAACTTCCATGTTACATGACATGAAAAAAGTCATATGTCAAAATCATACTGTCCCTTTTATCAACAGTGGCTGAATGAGGAGGAAAAAGTTTATGTAATTCCACCAGCTTATTGGTTGAAAGAACTGTGTAAGCCAGTGTCCCCAACCAGTTTGAGCCGTGGCCTTTTTCATGTTTGTACAATTTTCAGCTGGCACACCACCATCTGAACACTCAAAGAAATGACTTGTAGAATTTACTTAATAAAATCATTGTAAGTATTTGCACTCAAAATTTCTTTTCTAAAGTAATTTTAATGCTGTAATATCAAGTATAACTTACTTGCCAGTATCAAGTACAATGTACTTACTACTAACCTTAAAGTTTGTGAGAATATTATGTAAATGTTATGCAATTATTTTCATACAGGAATATCAGATATTAATTTATTAGGTAAATCTTACTTGTTTATTGCATTTTCTGTTATGAAGTGAATAAGTAGATATTACTTAATTTTTCTGTTTAAATTATTATTATTATCTACATGCTTTTTGGGTTGTTCCACATCAATTGTATCATTAGGATGTCATAATATTTATTATTCAAATGGAGCTCAGTGACAAGTGGTACAGTGTACAGACTCTGTGGCACACATACGATACACATTTGATGTAGTGACAAACCCAGGAAGTAAAGCCATACTTTGACTTGGCCATGTCGATCATGGTTGGTAAAAATATATTTAAATTTTTTCATTTGGTCAAATTTGTTTGTTCAAAATGTTGCTCACGTATTTTGTTTTAAGACTTGCTTTGTATTCACCCTCAAAATTAATGCTCAAATGTAGATTTTTTCAGAAGTTTATGTTTTTCTCTGCATTGCATTCTGGGTAGCGTCACTACTTCACCCAATAGTTAAAAGTTACTTGATTTTTTCAGGTTTTGGTGCTATGACAATAAATCATGTAAATGGTACGAGCAAATCTCTAGTAAGATGTACTCTTTCCACTCAATTAATTAATTACCTGAATATACTGTGTAAATATTTATGTTTTTAACTAGTTTTTGCTGAAAGTTGATATTATAGGTAGAAACTACTACTTTTGAGTTAGTATATATTACTACACCCAAAAATCATTTTTTTGAGTGAATATTTTACAAACATGAAATTCTGCAGCCTTTATCAACAATGCAAAGTTAATCTCATCAAAGTGTATTCTATAGAAAATAAAACAAGCGCATAAAAGTATTTCTAATCGTCTCAGATAATTTATCTTCACATAATATAACCAAACAGGAGATATCATTTCTAAAGGCACACAAAACAACATCTCAAGGCACACAAACATGCCACGGGACTCTGGTTGAAGAACACTGCTGCAACTGATGATGAAAAACGCTGTTTGTTATCGAACATTGAGTTGTAGCTACATGTGAACAAGGCTGCTGTGTCATGTTTAGGCCAATGGATAGAGTATAGAGACCCAAATGTTGCAAATGTCATGTTTTACACCTTCATATTTTTATACTAGTCTGTGTTTTTAAACAGGTCCCAGATCTGTGGTGTTTTCTTACCATTATAGGCATCCAGAGAATGACTCTAAGCACTGCCAGCACCATAGAGAAGCGCTTCTGAGCGAACAGCATTGGGACGTCACCTACACCCCCTTCCCTGTGCGCGCCGGCACACACTGGGGACAGGCCGCTGTCCTTTCTGTCCCTCAGCTTTGAGCCCATTGTCCCACAGGAGCTGGGACTCAGCTCGTTATAAAAGCCCAAACTTTGGTTGGGGTTGTCAAGACAGAGGTGCGAAGACGCGGTTACTCCCTCTGCCATGTCGAGGTAAGTGGGGTACAGCAGAGCCCTCTGTGACTCCCGGGAGCACAGCAGATGGTAAGTGAGAGGGATAAAGAAAAAAAGCAACCCACAAAAACACAGGGAGTACACTGATAAGAGGAGCAGGATGTAAAAACTGTCTATCTCCGGAAAACATCCAAGAGACGCAGGAGCGAAACTACCCCAGCCACAAAGAGGCAACATGCTCACGGCCAGACTGACTGCCCACACGCCCACTATTGCCGAGGTCACTCGTAGGGGCTGGTGGCGGGATGAATGGAGTGCCCCGAACCTCTTGGTCACATAAAAGGTGTAAGCAGCAATAAGACAAGCTTTCATGTTGCTTGAGACGCCCTGGAACACGTACAAAAGTCCAGACAAAGTGCACAGTCCCCCGGAGCTCTCTTGCCTCTGCCACTGCAGCAGCATGAACAGGGACAGAGGCACCACGCTGAGGAGGTCGTCAATGGACAATGAAGCCACGATGAGGCATAAGGAAGTCTTCCTCCGCATGCGAATCAGAGACAGTAAGGAAAACACGCCGCCAGCGAATGTGGCAACCGCGATGGTTAAGCACAGGCTGAAGAGCAGCAGCCGCTTCTGTCCATCCGCAGGACGCGCTACTTCGAACGCGCTCACGGTGGAGTAGCTGTCGTTGGATGACAGGGAGCTGATGGGGTTCGTTGCAGACATCACTAATCAACTTTTGTCACCCAAACATTCCAGTAGAAAGTGTCAAATAAAGTTTCTCTCGTCAGTTTGAGCTCTGGTGGACGCGTGGTAACAGGCACTTCCCCAGGGAATGTGCGCGCCACAACATCCTCGCACTACGAGCTCCAAGGTCCTGCCAAACACTTGTGCGCTCAAACCTCGCAACAAGGACACGCTCCGCGATCAGCAGCCGCTGTACGCGCTGTCGTCATCAGTGCTTGTCCACCCCTCCATTCGATAGCTCTCATTTGGGTTGGGCTATAGCATTTACGTAAAACTGTTCTTCTCTTCTTATGATTAAGACTTTCCAGGCTGTATAATGTCAGAGAAAAACGCAAAACAGGGGTCCTCACTCACACATTGATTATAGTATAATTTTCTTTTGAGTATTCCCCATTCTTCCACATCTGCTCCTCATCGGTAAAGAACTAGGCCTAATTAAGAAGCAAAGATTGGTTAATGATCACGCGACCCTCTGATCGTAAAACCACGTAAAACCCCTGCCATGTGCCATCTCTGGAGCCAATCCGCTGTGATCATGATCCACAGCTCAATTTGAGTGCAAGACATAATAGCCTTGAATCTTCGGGTTCACGTCACTGAAGCACAGCAGAACAAAATACAACTCACAAGGTTATACACACACAAAGCAGCTGAGATCAGCGCCACATCAAGGTGACCCAGTTTGTGCATTTCACATGCAATACTGGGCCCATAATGTTTTATGTGACAATGTGCTGCTTTATTATTTCACAGTCAGTGACATAACAAGGCTAACCTAAATCCACCTGAATATGAATACAAATGCACCGCAAATAAATATACCTACAGCCTATAAATTAGCAGGAAAAGGCCACAATCCAGTCAAAAATGTGTGACCTATATCTATTTTAATGCAGTCAGGGCACATTTTCTGTGCCCATGGTTAGAGCAGATGCACCTGTGTTTTTCAGATTATCACCTTTCTTGACACATTCATACACAAACTACTTGTCAGGATTGATTGTCAATATTTCATATATTGTGTGTATGGTAAACACTTACATTCAGTGAAATCATGGAATTCATTCATCTTTAAGATATTACATTATCTCTGCTGCACATCCTGTTCCAGAGGCTGTAAACACATATGGGAGAAGACATGGTGGATGCTGCTAAAGGAAAATGAATGAGTTGTGACCTTGTAGTTCAGATAATTGTTATCTAAACTAAAGGGAAGGGTGTGCACATGTTTTCCCAACTCTTGAGCGCTCTTCAAGGTCTTCCAAGATAAAAAAAAAAAAACATTACAAGGAATTCACTGTACTACACTTCTGACCATGAAGAAATCCTGACTGGAAGGTTTCAACTTTGCAGCTAGCACCACAGTATGAATTTAAAAATATTGCATGCACATGTTTTCATTCATTGTGTCCCTTGGGAATCGAGTCGTCTTAAGTTGACTGCCTTGCCAAGTCCCTTTTCTTTTTTAAATCAACAGTTAAATAACAACATCTCGAAGGAGGCAGCTCGAAGGAGCTAAGACAACAGGAGATTGCAATCTTCTGTCATAGTGTCTAATAAAACATTCACTCCCTCATCATCACATCATCTATGCAATTCCTTTGAGGGATGCGTACACAACATTGTCTACAGTACACAGTTATGCACAAGCGCATTTTTCTCTATAGGCCTTTCATTAGATTCCTTTAAGCAAAGAAAATCGTAAATGTTTTTGTAGAAGAAAAAACATCACACTCAGTCCAACGTTGTCATTATCCCAAGTCAGATCAAATATTAATGGAGCAGCACTTGACACAAAGGCTCACAGACAAAAGCTGAAGTGAGCCAGTGTTTGTGCAGGATGGAAGTGAAAATGAATTATTCGGAATAAATTGTATTGACGTGACATGAATTTAGAACATCTTGGTGCATGCTATCTCTGCTTATGCAGGAGTTCACTATCAATGTCACCAATGTCAGTATTGCATATTTCTTGCATTCAATTTCAACTTGCAGATATTTGCTCTCTGGATAAGATTTTTGTCAAAGTTGTTGCAAAAACAAGATAAAGATCGGTTACATAAATTATACGTTTTGGTTTTACATAAATTATGTAACCATAGACAGTAAAAATCAATAGATGACTTACATTTTGAATAGAAATATTTGGAGAAGGTTTGCCATGTTCTCTTTAGTTTAAATGTATGGTTTTAATATATGCAATGACAAAACATTTTCATAAAAAAATGTTGGATCTGTAAAAATAAATGGAGTTTAGAGACAGATACACATAAAGAAAACTTTATTCATTGTTTGGTTAATTCTATTGAATTAAAGGTAAAGTATCACCTGTAAAGTGCAGTAACATTTGAGATTATGAAAGACTGATCAGTTGATGTTGATGGGTCAGTAGGAGGACACCGATGATCCATAATACAAAAAAGGCTTTTATCTTTTTGATATGAAGTTTTAATGAAGCAGGTTGCTCTTCTAAAGTCCGTTCAGTCCAAAATTTACAGCAGCGGTTGTCATAGAAACACTGATGGGTTTATGAACATAAGCGGCACCTTTGCTCATCTCTGTCCAGCACATCTCTCTCACAGTAATAGGTTTCTGTTAACAGCAGCTGTAGTATCATATGTAATTGCTGTAGTAGTAGAATACATGTAATGAATATGAATACATGAATATGAGTAATACAATGGTGCCTGTAGAAGTACAGTTTGTAATCTTTGAACACTGGACACTGAAATGTCCCCATGGTACAAATAAAGACTTGTACCATGGGGATTTATCTTCATGATAACAATCAAATCAAATCAAGTCGCATGGCGCCGTAAAGATGGCGCCGTGGCAAGAGCTCTGGTGTGTGTCGTCTGGTGCACACCGGGGTAGTCTTGCACAGTTTTTCCAATGTGGTTTTACTGCAAATGGCAAATAAATGAATCTGAATCTGAATCAATGGCAGAGTCCTTACAGCAGCACTTCAACTTCACAAAATTGTGAAACTTCTAAGCATATTGTATTGAGAACATATGGGGCATTATGCACATTTCAGATACCTTTATTAGTCGTAGTAGTAGTAGTAACCATTCCGTCCACACTCAGTGGTGCAGCAGCTGCCCTGGGGTGGACTCACAATCTGTGCTATTGGCCCCTTAGACCAACACTATACAAACTGGAAGTTTGTATCGTTTTTATTGCGGAATTATCAACGTTTAGCCTATATGTTTTATTTATAAGCCCAACATTAGATAAAACGTGAAGGCAAATAAAAATCAGGCAAAAGGCAAAATCACATTCTCACAATGAATCATTCCCCAAAAAAAGTTTCAGATTCTGATGTTTTCTCCTTTTCATCCACCAGGGTGCACCACTGCTCCATGAAAAACTTGTCCAACGAGGTTGTTATTTTATAATAATGTTTTGGTTTTCACAAAGGCACAATAATATGGTTATTAAGACATGTGCATCCAAAATATATATTCTGATAAATCCTATGTCTCTTTATAACCTTCAAGCTCTCATGTAAACTTTAAAAATGGCCATACTTAATATATTTCTTCTTGGGGAGGGGACTAATACAAAAATATAGCCTGAGAACAGGAAAATAATCTCTGAAACAAGGCACAACAAATCCTCACAAAACAAATGAAATTTGACTGAATAAATGAATGTCTTGGGAAAGAAAAAGCAGTGAATTAACAAAGCAATCAGTGTGACCAGGGCTTTCTCACATGCAGCACATGCCACTCAAACTTCCCCCTCCACTCCTCCAATAATGAGCAGAATAGAGAATTTCATCATGGGCCTAATAATAGTGCTTCTCCCTTCTGGATTCAATTAAACTCATATTTTAGACAATTACTTTCAAGAAATAGAGCTAGAATGTCATTTTTCCCTACAAAACCGTATGCAGACCCACATAAATCTAATGAAATCAATCCCATGGAGCTCAGACATTATTTTGCCCATCACAAGTACAATACATGCATGTTTGACAATAACAATAAAGCAGATTAGTAACAATACTTTTAAACAATTCCGAAATAACCTCTTAGGAAAAGTAGCTGCAGATGCCTGTGAGGATTAAATCAAACAATAAGCATAAACTGCTCAATACAGTTGTGGCATCAATGAGATCTGTCACCTAATGCACAATGGTAGTGGGGCATTTCAGCAAACACCAATCCCTCATTAATCAATCATTTTACTGAGGGAAAAAACTGTGACTGTGACTGGGATCGGCAATTAGATCAAGCTGTTTTTTTTTCAATGCATTTTTCTAGCTTTCATTCACTGGCAGCAATACAAATGTCAAGAAAATCCGATTTTTCAGTTTCTTCAAGACATCCCCACCTGCCATTTGAGTCTTGTTCTTCCATTTGCATCTGTCAGAAATGGGTTGACCGTCTCCAAATCCATGCTGCTGTATTTCCTTTGACTAAAAATAACAATTGTGTATCACAGCATGGGGTTTGGGAAGTTGGATGAGTGTTGTGCAGGCCATTTGATACAGTAGGTGACATTCTGATGACACGCTCCTCAAAGTACAAAAAGTATTTATCGGAGACGATTTGCTGTTCCCGACTGTGGGGCAGATCGGAGGACAGCAGAGAGGAAGGAATGTGTGTGTGCACTGGCAAATCATGTCAGTGTGCGAAAGCAAATATTGTGAACATTTTAAATGTGCAAGAGGGAAAATTGATGCCTCTGTGTAAAATATCAGCAAATACTGTGTTACAGTGCTGTGCTACATTATGAGCCAATGTTTTTGCATGTGTCCAATAATACAGCAACTTATAATTGTAGGATTGTGTCAAATACAAATATTTCATTGTATTCCATTTGTATGTCATTGGGTTCCCTGTTGTTTTTTGAGGATGGAATAACTATGAATCCATCATCGAAATATACACACATTCAAGAAAAAAGTTTTTATTTTTCTGTATATATTTTCCACACATATGGTATTTTTTCACACTCAAGATTAAGAATAA